TATAGTCAGAACTGACCTCTCCATTAGTCGTCATGTTGCATAACCTGGACGGTAGCTAAGGTTAGCATTGCAGAACGTTTTCAGTCAATCGAACCAGACGTACAGTTTATCAGAGTACCGTATACCGTAGGTAGGTCAGATCCGCCGACGTGCGTAAAATCCTGATGTTCTTCTATTTGAATGAATCCATTTGAACTACGGTTGAGTGTACCAGCTGTAAATTATTTGATAGGAATATTTTCACCAAGCCAAGCTTAACGGATAACAGCTTAAACATTTGGCAAAATGCACCCACTTCTAAACTTACATTGATATGATTCTTAGTTGAATCGTTAGTTTGACCGCTTCATGTTCCATTTGGTACTATATTCGTCATGTGTTCTTTATGATACCCTACTCACAAGGTTATTAACAGTTCCTCGACAGCCAACGGTCGGTTTTGCCCTTGTTGGGCCCTTCTTCCCGGGTCGTGTTCAAATTACCTTGTACTCGAACATAAGATAGAACACCAGTGGCCAAATACACTCGCTTGCAAATTACTTTGGTGCTCACAGAAAATCCAACAGAATCTCTTGCTTTTGATGCTATTCAACTGAATGTGTCGAATAAAGACCGGCCTCTGTTTTACCTTCCTACATGTCTGACGAGTCTATGATTTTTAAGAGACACCCGAAGTGTTGATATAATAGTGAAAGGAACGTGCTTCAGAGACTGGATGGTACTTTCGAACTTAATCTTTTCGATAACTCTCCAGGGGTATTCATCAAGGAACCAAGTCGTCCCACAAACATCAGAATAAGTTATTTAATATCAAATTCTGATGCCAAGACGTTTCAGCACGATTTTCTTGGGTTCCCAATCAACACAAGATTGGTATTCTATTCACTCGGTCTTCAAGATGTTTATTTGAACGAGTATGCCACACACCCGATGGGATGTCGTTGCACACATGCAACCGTTTCGGTTCCTACTGTCCTCGCTGACGACTAGTTCTGTAGCTTACCCTAACCACGTGTCTGGTCATGCGTTTGGTCACATGCCCGTATCTACTTTACCGTGTACCGCGTTCAGAGTGTGCATTTCCACTTACAGCCTCTACATAGATTTTTTCCTAGGCCAGTCACCCGCGCCCTGGATGTTTGTACCAAAACGGTAATGGGAGGGGTTACTCAAGCAGTTGTGTCCAATCGACAGTCAAACGGACATTCCCAATACCAGGCGAAGTGATTTTGTAGATCTACAGGTCTGAGCGACACGGCAGCGTCAAAAGGTATATGCAGCTTTCTTTATTAGTGATCTCTCTCGATTTTGCTATGTAACCGAACGAGCTACTAACCTATGAAGTGATTTTGTAGATCTACAGGTCTGAGTGACACGGCAGCGTCGAAAGGTATATGCAGCTTTTTTTATTAGTGATCTCTCTCGATTTGGCTATGTAACCGAACGAGCTACTAATCTATTCGGTCTCTGATTGATGTTCAGCGTTCAGCTCCCACGATATGTTGTTGAGGACAATGTGAAACTAGTGTGGCATGCTCTTGACATGTTCTTAGGAGTGAATTTGACATCTACCAGACTTGTACGTTCGAAGGTAGTAAGAAGGGTGTCGTGCCTAATCAGATTAGTTAGAAAACCAAGATCATAAAAGGCCTACATGGCTATGAAACACCATTGCGCTCCACCCTCTTCACAACAACTGACGACAGCTGCACTGTTGATGAAACTTTTGTCAGGCTCAGCGAATAATTCGACCGCAACGGTATTTCACTTATACATCTTTCGTTTGGAGGGCACGGGAGTCGAGCTGCTCTCCACCATTTGAGTTTGAACCTCAGTCACTTAGCATACAAAGTAAACAGTTACGCGCACGTTTGTGGTAATGTGTTGTTACTGTCTATTGTGCAATCGTTGCGAAGCGACGCACGGGTATTTACCGAAGTTTTCTCGAAGTCCTCAGGAGTAATGAAGTTCAGTTGAAGAAAAATTAACCAGTATGTGTATGGATAAGTGTTGCATAATGCGGTGCGGTCAAAGTACATCATCATCTCCCATCAAGAACCAGCATATCATATTAGGATAAGGCGATGTGATACAGAGTCTTATTGTACTTGTTTTACGTATTCTAACCTGTTGAAGCCTGCTGTTTGAGTGCTGTGACATGCGGCAGCATGGAGCTCTGGTGGGACAGGATTATATGTATATGGGGCGAGATGACTCAAGTGGTTAGATTACGAATTTGCTGGCCTGAAGGTCCGTGATTTGAACCCGACCTCTGCCTCTCGGTTTGCCTGCCTAGGCCCGAGGGAACTGAGGGTTTCCCAGCCCTCGTACTTACTTCGGATCGCATGGTAGCTAGGCATCGGAAAGGTGTTACAGATGAACAATCCATATACATATATATCACTTATAAGGTGCAGAAAAAAGTGATAGATCAAGTGGCCAAATACCTGTGATTGAAACAGAAGGAACACATACATATTACGGGGTATGGATCTGCACCTCCTGCGTAAAACGCTGAACGTCTACCTGTTCTAATACCACACAAAATGGGAACGATCATTGCAGTGAGGAGACATACATATTACGGGGTATGGATCTGCACTTCCTGCGTAAAACGCTGAATGTCTACCTGTTCTAATACCACACAAAATTGGAACGATCATTGCAGTGAGGAAAATTTATCTGCCAAGTTTAGTTTTCTGCACAATTTTTCATGGCACACGACAGGAGAGAAAAAACAGAAAAATTGCCGTGAGGTAAATAAGATGAAGACCCCTATTTTCTACCCCACCTAGGCTGGTGAATAGACAACAAATACACTCACTTTCAGATCAGTTTGGTTTACACGGGGGACTCAGCTGAATCTCTCATCTATGACATTCTCCAACTGAATATGCCGCAGTTGAGTTCACTTGTCGAAATCAGTCCAAGTTGGATTCAAGTGGAACCTGAGGTTGATGGAAACTCGGGAAATACACCTACCTGATAAGCTCCAAGAAAGGCAAAGTCAGTCATCTGAAAAGTTTTCGGAAAAGATACTGCGATATCTCGAATATCGTACCAAATGAAACACGAAGTGGCCTCTGTGCAGCACAGTGAGTTGAAAAATATCATAACTGAGTGATTCAGCTGATACCGGTAAAATATCACGCCACTACTGGGATTGACGGGCCTGAAATTGCAAATAAGTTGTGGTTAGCTGAATCCACAAATGCACATGGCGAAATGTTCAGAATTAAATTTTCAAATACTATTGTCTTAACCCTAACATTTGTGCGATTGCTCACCTTCGGTATGTCACACATCACCTCATAGCGCTTACGGTAGCTTCGCCAATTGGGTAATATTTACTCTCTTTATTATTGTTTCTCACTCGAAAATCCTCGACAATGGGCATCATAAAGATGTGTTCCGTATTTACTAACAGTCTTCACAGTAGGGGTTCACTTTCTGATTCTAGTTTAAAGACCTTCTCAGAAAACTGGTGTTAGATTCACTCATAAACAGCAGATGTTCGGTTTACGTAACAGGCTAAACTATGGTCACTGAGTTCCTATTACTCTAATGATCATGTGTTCATTTCTAGTGACAACTGTACTAACGATTGAAACAAGGAGGCCCTGTGTCACTCTCAAAAATGTACTCAGGATAAACCTATAAGGAATACCAACTCAAAGAGGGGACACTCAACAACTTTTCACAGCGGCCAATTGTCTTGTCACACTGAAGAAGTGATCTTCATACTGGTGATCTCCCCGTTACTTCGTTGGTTGGTTATAAGGCAGTTGAACAAATTCGCATGTTTATCGGTGCCACCTTTTTCTAACCTAAATAGCCCAGTAGCTCCAAAATAACTGCCTTACAGATTTTGGAAAAAAGCGATCAATAGTCGTCGTTTTACTGCCTTTTCACTGAGGTAGTTCATTTTTCAAAACAAGATCTGTACTTACCATGTATACGTGCGTCGTTTGTCAGCTTATAGTTCGTTGTGCGACTCAGTTCTATCCATTTTGTCAGTACGCAGCCCGTAAAGATAGCCTCAGTCATTTTCCAATGCTTCTATATCACTTTATCAGCTGATTACCAAAGCGGGAATCTCGTTGGATGACCCTCGTTTGAGCAAATTTGTGGACAACCTGACAAACCTTCAAGGTCCAAGAAGCAGTCAACCTCTTAAACGACGAATGACGTCCTTGACACTGGACAGAGAGGCGTTCAAAAGGTACAGTACTTGGACTATTTGGTTACCCTTTTCGTTTAAAGGAGCTGACGCGGATCTTATTTTAGTCATAGTGTAGTAAAAAATTTAGCGAGCACCTAACGTTATATCATAGAACTTAATCACCGTCATATTTACGCATATTTCAAGGTAACCGGAACAATAAAACCTTCAGTTTTGTTCCCCGCTAAATATCCGTCTAAAAGCAACGTAGTTTTTCTTTGCACTCAGTATCGACCTTCGGATGCAGCATTTGGTAGAACGAAAAGTAATCCACTCATGCACCATCTGTAAGTTAGTGTTTTCCACCTGTCATTGTGATGCAATTTCCTATTTTTTCGGCATCCGGCTAACCGGCTTCTGATTCAAAGTAGCAACTCTAGTTGGATTTATATCTCTGGTTGATGACAGTAGCACGTGGAAATAGTTTTGTCGTCGGTGATCCTTTCTTACTGTCTTCAAGTGCCTCCTATACAAGCAGACTTGGGTCAATTCACAAAACACATTCATTTACACACCGATTTGTTTTCAAACAGAGAATCATCATGGTCATCAACAGCATAACATCAGTCTTCAACCCTGATGCCTCGTTACCGATACCGTTACCCAAATGAATCTCCCGTTTATGTTATTATTCATTTGAATGTGCCACTTCATGCTTTACCTGGTACGATGTTCGGGACAGCTTAGTATATTTTTTCTTGGGGGATCACTGCCGGTAAGTTAGCCGAAAACTGTTCGACAATCCACTATTGTTTTCGTCCTTTTTGTGGCCCTTCAGTTAGGTGGAGTCTTCCAGTTTCCGTCACCTTTGTGTTCCAACTGTGCCTAAATTTCACGGCAGTCGTGAAATAAAAGCATTTTCACGCTAACTTGGTAGCGTACCGTCAAGAAAATATACCAGATATCCATTGGAGCATAAGGTGGTCTTTTCGCCGCCCATCCAATTGATAAAATCGTGAATGAAATATTTTGCTGCGGTTCGGTTGAGTCTGTCGCTAAATCTAGATTCATGGAAAAGTGAATATATTCCGCAAATTCCACATTCGGGTCCAATTAGAACACACGTTTTACGGCAAATCGGGAACTGTACCTGACCAGTAGGCCTCAAGAAGGATTAGACTGGTAGCGGGTTGCCGAAAAGCTTTCAGTAAATAAGGACAGTGATACACAGCGAAGCGTTTATATAAAGTGGTTACTGAAGAATCAGTGATCACCAAAGCATAGTTAGCTCGAGGAAACGCACTACACATACCGTGTCACTTAAGTTCCGCTTGTCTTTGTCTTCTTTCCGAAAACATGAAGTCACTTCACTTCATCTAAATTTTTTGGGTGCGTGTTTGTTCGCTGAGCTTGGCAATTTGATTGCAAACGCTTCATCACCAATCGAGGTGACATGGTCAGTACGTTGTTGGGGGCATGGTGGTGCGTAGCGATGTGTCGGTGGTTGTGCGCTGAGTAGTGTTGCGTGTATGTTAATATATGTGCTGTCAGCCGGGGCTGACCTTTGATCACGATCATCAATCCACTGCCATGGATCCGCTACGTAGACGTCATCTTTGTTATCATGAAACGAGATTCAGTACACAACGCACATGAACTGCTCAAAATCACGTTTGAAAATACCAAGTTTAAGATCGAACTGGAGAGGAACAACCGACTAACATTCTTGGACATTTTTGTGAGCAGGAAGGTGGATAGGACTCTGGAGACCTGTGTATACCGGAACGAGATACATTTGGATCAAATATCGAACCACAACAGCAATCATCTAGTAAACCACAAAGAGAGCTGCGTCCAGACCCTGTTCAGGACGGCGGAAACACATTGCATCACCACAGAAGTACGGAAGAAGGAAGAAAACCATCTATTCAAAGTACTCCAGGGCAATGGAAATCTAATGAATTTTATCAAGAGAAGCTTGAAAAAGAAGACATCCAAACAACAGCACCAGCAAGAACAAGCCACCGGACGGGTAGTTCTGCCCTGCATTAAGAATATATCGGAACTTACAACCAGATTATTAGTTCAAAAAGGAGACCTCTGAAGAAACTAATATCAAGACCGGAGGACAACTGAGACAAAACCAAGAGGAACAATGTGATAGAGTAAATGAACTACAACGACCGCAACAAATCCTATGTTGGACAAACCAAGAGAATGTCATGCACACGAATAAAGGAACACACCGCGGCCTTCAGGAGACAGGACCCCCTATCCCTGATATCTATAGACGAGGGCCAATATGGAAAACGGAGAGATTTTGGCACGCGGATACACGAGAAACAGAAAGGAATTTCTGGAAGCATGGTGTCCCACGGCGGACTCGATCAACCGATGCATTGAGCTGGATCCAATTTACGCACCACTACATGCAAGGGACAACATCTCAACCGTACTACTCAAGGAGAACCAAATATCGGATTTACAAACAAAGATCAATAGAGGTCACAACTTGGAACTCGGAAGGGTCAGGGACAGATGTCACTCCAGCATCGACCAGAGTACGCGGGCAGAGGATGTCAAGCTCAGAGATCACGTGGGCATAGAGGAACCAGGACGAAGAACAACAGAGCAACCAACGGAATCACCCGACCGAACAACTAACCAGGATCGAAGGTCAACCCCGGCTAACAGCACCTACATTATCGCACACTCAACAGTGCTCAACGTATAATCACCAACCCATCACTGCGCACCACTACGCTCCCTAAAAACGCACTGATTATGACCATATACACTACTTGAGCTGCCGACATTTTTCTCTATGGTTTGGGTGTGCATACTGTTAAAAAAACATTGATCTACGTCCCTAAGAAGTATCTGATTCGTCCCTCACCGTGACAAGTGATTTCTGTAGTGATCTTTCGAATGGAAGTTTGAACGACGTTTCTTGCTGCCCATGTCAAAGTGATCTAAAAGAAGATCTGGATTTTTTTCGCTCACTTAAAGCTCACTTAAAGGTGGACATACAACAACTTTTGGGTATTCCTTTCCAGTCAGATTGCGAATGACTCTCTCTTGTTTCCGTAAACGCTCCAAATGGACTGGCTCTGCTGAGAGCTGTCGTGAATCAGCCGGGCCACACAATTAATTCATTCGCATTAAGTGCAACTTGGTTCAAGTTTGTTCAAACTATTAAGATGGTGAAAATTTCACCTCGAATTTCAGTGAAGATCACCACTTTCAACCAGGCCACAAGTCAAAATGAGAAAGTTCTGAGTGAGCACACAGATTTAAGGCCGTGCCCCGCATGGTACCTTAAATGTTTTGCCCACTGAAGGCTCAAAATCGATTTTTGACTACCTCAATTCGCTTAAGGGCTTTGTCGTGAATACATCCATAAACGTACTGCTAAATCACTCTAGCTCTTAGTAGCCCATTTCCTCTCTTGACATAATGGTCCCCTATAGACCGTACAAAAGGAACGGCATTGAACTGGAGTTTTACTCCTACTAAAGTTGATCAACACTGCATGCCCTGTTTGACTGTGAATTGAATTTCGGTCATCTGATAGGCCATCTGTAAATCCCTTGTCATGACCACAATACCGGACGTTGGACGCCTTTCAGAATAAAGAAGTCGAACAGTTGGTCCGGACAAGTGCTGTATGAAACCAGAGGAACTCAACAACACTCAAACAAAGAGATTTGTAGTGGGATGCGGTAGTCCTTTCGATATATATGTCAAAGAATTCCTTTCTGTTTGCTGTGTCCGACACCAAGACACAATGACGCGCTTCATGGATCCCCTACTAAAATTCTAACGCAGGCTAACGTCTAGTAGCCACCTCAGCATGGACCTCCCTACAGAATGCCTTAATCTACAGAAGCAATGTTTCGGCTCATGTTAGAAGATATGGAAATTTTGTAATCTGCAATCAAAACGCTTCTAAGTAAGCCTCTGACAGAAAAAAATTAAATCGTTGTGCAGCAAACAATCCACAGTGAAAGTGAAAGTCTGGAAACACCCACCAGCCTCACAATGTACGCCACAATTTACTTCTTCACCTTTGAGTAACTCAAGAATAACGTTTGGGGCACATCCACCCAAAATATCCAGGTCATGCTTGCTCTTTGAAAGAGACGACTTTTTTGTAACCATTATTGCTTACTGTGGAAAGTCAAGTATTGTTATTTGCTTGGATTGACGGTTCCTCATTACGTCCGTGTCTTACGTGTGTGTTTTATAACAACCTGCTCCCGTTCCCTTTTTTCTTGTGTGAACAGGGTGACGCAGGAGAGCGTACACATGCTACTGCGTGTCGTTACCAATGATTTTTGCATTCCAGACTTTCAGCGCTTTTCAGCCGTGATCGAAGAACTCTTCCATTCATGTAAGGAAAATAGTGGGGGCAACTTGGCCTGCTACATTCCAGAACTAACTAGAGTTGACCCCAACATGTGGGGTCTTTCAGTCTGCACCGTCGATGGACAACGGTAGGTTACGGTGTAGTCGTGCAAACTTGAATTCACTCACCTCATGCATTTCGACGTTTTATTTGACCACACAGGGTTTAAGGGAAATCTCATAGCTCAGCATACAAGTATTATTTTATTGGTGTGTGACGATTCCCTTTTTAAAAGCAGCAAGTCGCCATGGCATTTAACCCCATATGGAAATCTAGACGTCCTGCCGTCCAGATATATTATGACCACGGCCCTATTCTCGTTCATCAGCATAATCAGCTTCATACCGCTTATGTGTTTCATAAAGATTCCAATCGCATCTTTGTAATATACTACTCATAAGACTGCTGAAAATCCGTCGACAGCCCACGACCGGTTTCGCCCAAAAAATTAGTTTTGCAAATTAGTTTGCAAATGGGTGTATATTCGCTAATTTCGTGCAATTTTGTTTCAAGTAGAACATAAAGTTGACGGAAACCCGGGGACTGCGCCTACCCGATGACCCCCAAAAGGGCGAAACCGGTCGTGGGATGTCGACGGATTTTCAGTAACCTTATGAGTAGCACATTACAAATATATACATGTATCGCGATATCTCGAATATCATAGCGACATGAGGCGACCTGGTGCAGCACATTCGGTTGCCCGAAAACATCACAAACGAGAGATTCAGCTGGGTTCCAGGTGAGTCTCTCGAAAAACCAAATTAGTTTGCAAATGAGTGTATATTCGCTGACTTCAGTCACAGTTTCGTTCACTGTGACTGAAGGGTTGGTAACCATGCATTAGGGACTATGGGTGATATCGTCGACAGATGAACTCAGGAGTCGTAGTACACTTTCTGGGAGAGTTTGCAAAAGGAACTTGTTCACTGAAAGCATGCGGAGGATTGTGCGCATTAGTGGGACATGTTTGCCAATGCTCCTAACCGTCAATATGGTAATGGTCCCAACCAGAAAGACTTCAGTCATCAAATAGCTGAGTATGAGAACTCCATAAACCGTCTTTCAGGGTACATGAACATGCCAGTGTAATCCTTGAACCATCATCGTTTGGTGCAAGTTGTTTCCCCTAATGATCATGAAGTTCATCCCATCAATATTGATCCATTGTCCCAATTAGGTCATGACAACGCCGTGATGGTATTGGTCGTCAAGTTTCTCGAAGTATTTTAACGTTTTTAGCTATCACTGACCAGATTTCGGGCTCAACTGACAATATGGTGTGGAGCTCGATGCTGCCCCTTGAGGAACAAGCTTACGTATGGTCTAGGCAACAGAGTTTGCAGATAGGCAAAATCCGTCCTGATCTCCATTTGGATGAAATTTCCATCTCTAAGTAGACCGCTGGAACCGATACGATTTCCCCCGTAAATGTTCTTCACCTAGCACCTCATCTAACATGCTAAGCAAATGTGAAGCGC